CAGCTGAAGACGTTTTTTTGGTCACATGCAAGGAATGATGACGGTAACGGGTAGCGCGCCTCTAGTTTTCATTAACCCCATTCTTCAGCAAGTCAGAGTCACCAGGCATGAAAATTAAACGGACAGCTACAGATGGAAGAAACAGATTTAAAGAAACGGTGCCAGTGTATGATACGTTACCATCCGGAGGTCTTCAATCAGTGAAGAGAATATGACTATTGTTCAAGAAGCGTTTGGAAACAGAAGAATGTCACTGCATTATGCCTCTAATGAACTTAACACCAGTCGTTTTATCAGAGGCGCACAAAATCCTTCGAATTAAATTGGACGGATAATTTCGTTAAGTTTCACATTCCAAGACTAGGACTGCATTTAATAAACACATTCACAGAGCAAAACACCAAAGTTAATAATTAACTAGAAGATTTCGGAACCCTAGAATTTTATAAAGGCCATTCAAGACTCTATCCTCTGACAAAGGAGTCCGTAGCATAGAAACATCGAATCTGCAATGAATCTTCCACTTTTATCGCTAAGCGAAAGATTGGACATCACAGATGTTATCACGCCTTGTAACGTTGTTCAGGATATGTTCTATGTTGGTATTTTCAAGGCGATTTGTAGCGGCCTTTTTCACTTTTACTCTGATGCTACCACCGTGATACCAAAATATGCAAGCTATAATAGAACTTTCAACATCCTATTTGTTTAGTGCCCCGGACCATGGATTCTCAAATCCGTTTCGGTCACAGTCATAAATCGCAGACTACTCAAATTTCATAACCAGTTAGCATTTTCTAATGAAGCAATACCGTATCAACAGCAACTATGAGGATTATGTAAGTCTGGGCGGCAAACAACTTGAAGTTGATTCATCTAAAATCAGAAGTAGATTTGTGTATATCCCTAAATAGGGTTCTAATGAACAGTCCATTTTTTTCATATTCTTGAATCATCTTTGTTGCAGTGTGTTTTTATTATTTAACCGAACCATTGAAGACTGTAACAGATATGCATTTCCGACATTGTGGATGCCCTCTGGATAACTACTGTAAAGCTATACCGGATGTAACCCTCATTCCTGGTGCCACGAATTCATATGAGTACTCGCATATCTACGGAATGCCGCGGTTGCTCGAATAATCAACGTGGCTAGCATTCTGTTCCGTACTGAAGCACTGGCCTGCAACTGCCCATTCAGTTTCAGGGGCCTCTCATTTTATCCCACACATTACCCAATCTTCACCACTTCCTTTGAGCATTTCCTCTTCCGATCGATTTCCCTGCAGTCCAAGACAGGCGACCGCTGGAGTCTTA